TTTCTCCAAACTCATTCCAAGTGGGGGCTTCTGTAGACACCCATTTGTGTCTCCCCAAAACCAAACCCAGTGATGAGTGCCTTTCACGTCGAATCATGATCGAATGAAACGAAAGTGTAGAAAGGTCTAGTGTTGCAGAAAGTTTTATTTCTTTTCTTTTCTCTTCTCTCTATTTTTGAAAACTTTATTTTAAGAAAACAGCCAATCCAGTTTGTTTGGTCCATGATATGGGTCCAATAGTGGTGTAGTTGGATGGGGCTTGCAAAGACCTTTTCAACGATATATTATAAGCCCAATTCCGAAGAATATTGAGGAATTTATGGCCAATTTACTAAACTGGGCCCGGTTTGAGTTTTAAGTACGGCCCAATGATCTAGAGGAGGGCCTAATATGATTTATCATTACTAATGTAATTAGGAATGGTTTTAGTCTTCTAGAACATTCTAGAAGGTTCTTATCATTCTTTAGAGTTTTTAATTAGATCAAATAGCATTTTCGACTGAAATTATATTATTTTATCTTCCAGTACGGTAAAATTATCAGATTTTCGAAAACGTGTTAAAAGTCGGTTTGGCGTCCAACCCCAGGCCTTGGCGCCTGGAACCAGGATTGGCGCCAGACGCCAGCCATTGGCGCCTGGCGCTAGCCACTGGTCCTGGCGCCAATGAGCTAGGGCTGGCGCCAAGTTGTTTTTGCGATCTTCAGGCTCTGTTTTGATAAATTATCTTTTTTTGGCTGATTTTCTTTATAAATATCGTATCAAAAACTCCGTTTTGGGGGACGGATTGTCATCTATCATTCACCACTTCTTTTGTTCTTAAGTTTTAATAAATTCCGTTTTTATTCATCATCTACAATCTTCAATCGTCAACAAATTAGTTTATGAATCATTAATCTTTCATTCGTTCTTTCTAAACTTTATTCTTTAACACAAAATTCCGCATTCACAAGATCTTGATACACCTAGCCATATTCGAAGTTGCCTTCGCCCTAGACGTGAAAGGTTTTTAATTTCTGAGGGTTTGGTCCCAAATCTCTATTATTTAATTTAATTGCTTTGTTTATTATTTTCCTTGAAATTACTAACGTGTGTATTTTGTAATTAGAAAGAGGTACAAGGCATCCAAGTAAGTACTTTATTGATTAATTGATTTTATGATGTAGACATCATGTTTATATTATTATGATATTCTTAGTATCATGTATAGGGTGTTTTTAATATTAAGCATGATTAAGAATATGATGCTTCCTATGTTTTTTCTAACATTTATGATTATGATTGATGATGATTATTTATTATGTTGCTTGATATATATTTTATAATTGTTATTGCTTGATCACCTTTTATTGCAGGTTAAAGGGAATTTGGTATTTGCAATCACGCTTAATAAGATATTAATAATCTTGTTAGGTTAATTGTGATTATAAATTCAAGTGATCGCCAATAATAGTTTGTTTGTGCATTAAATTCAATCAACATAGATTAAACAGGTTTAGGGTTAATCCTATTGATTGCATGTTAGTTAGAAAGCGCACATGAATACGATCAGAATAAAGTAGAGGCCTATTATTAGGGCAGGTTCAATCTCTTTTAGGTTGGATTTGTACCTTCATCCCCGAACCCTTATTTGGTTCATGACCTTATGGAGTTGACGATCTCTTGGATCGTTAAGGGGTGTAACCTTCACCTCGTGAACGGTTTACAAGTTCCTTAAAAACTTGTTGGTGACTCTTTTGCTTTATCTTCTTCCCTTTTGGACGCCACCGTACTTTAGTGTATGATCACAGTGGGGTTCAAGCTAGTGGGATTTTTAAAGGCTTGAAAATATTCCCCACACAAATTTAAAACAATGTATTTCTGGACTCCAATAATCTAATGCTGCCCTAAGAAAATCATGTTCAATAGCTACATGCATGTCGCAGAGCTAGCAAACCCCTGACATGAAATAATTCTAACTCTCTTTCTTAAGCATTGGTCAAAGAATAAGACCAGTCACGCAATGTATTATCAAAATTCTGAGACATGAAATATGAAATTCTAAATTATTTTGTGTTTCGTAATTATGTATATCATGAATAAACTGGTCTTATTTTATATCAAAAGCGCTCGAAACTGTCTAGAATTTATCTTTTCATATGCGTAAAACACACCGCTGAGTAATACGCGTACCGTGTCACGGGAACTTTTGCCGCGACACGACAAGATTTTCCCCTATCTATCCGGATTTTTTATAGTATTTTATCTTCTTTGTTTCTTTTTCAGTTTTCTGAGAGTTTTTTTTCTAATAAAATTCTCAACTTTTTTATCTCTATTTTTTTTATTTTACTTTATTATTATTATTATCTTTATTTTATTTATTTATTCATCACTTTAATATTTTATTTCTTTATCATTTTATTTTTGCTTGACTTTTTATTTGTTTTTCTTTTGGGGAAGGTAATTTTATTTATTTATTTATTCCTCACCTTAATATTCTCTTTTTATTTATTTTTGGTTTATCTTTTTATTTCTTTTTCTTTTGGGGAAGGTCGGTACCCTCCATTACTCCACTTATATTTTTTTGTCACGTCATTAATAAATACACGATCACACACAATGAGTTTCAAGCACACACTAACACACAATAATAAATACATAAGCTATGAATAGTGTACAAAAGAGTCATAATAAATAAACATGTCAAGTGTCATCATAGTATGTACAAATAAAAACCCTCGGTCAAAAGTCTCTAGAGCCAGAATCAGTATCATCTCCACCCTGCGAATATGGGAACAGTGAGCCAAAGAGTCCTTCCATCATCCGAGTACGGGGAGTAGTGTCCCTCCTAATCCCTATGACCCCAGCAGTAGTCAAACTCAAGGCAGGACCTGTCCAGCCGGAAAACGGTGTAGACTGGCTCAAAGACATAGGAATCGTCGGTGAAGGCATCGTCCCATACATCGGAACTGAAAACAAGCCCGACATCGGTGTAGGAATCCCGGATAATGGAGCTGAAAATGAACCAGGATCCAAGGGAGTCAAAATAGACCCAAGCTCAGGCTGTGGAGGCTGTGAAAACGACTGACGCTGCCCCTGACTCTGGCCCGGAAAGCGCTGAGAAGACTGAGGCTGCTGCCACTGAGCCTCCTGAAATGGCTGAGTAACTTGAAGCTCTCGCTGAGAATGAGAACGTCGGTGAATCTCAGGAGATCGTCTACCACCAAGCTCCTCCTCGTCCGAGCCTCTGTGCCTCGAGCGCGAGCGGGACCTCCGTTGCTCCTGAAAGATACAAAATCAAAAGGTGTCAACAATGCGAAGTAAAACAAATAGTAGAAATAAAAATGAATGATACCTCAAGAACGTCGCTAGAGCTCCGACAACTCGCACCACGCCGAAGCTTGATAATGCAATACTTCAGGGTGTCAACCAGCTTCATGAGTCCCATCATCTCTGGGCGGTTAGGCTGAGGATAAAACAAAGAAAAGTCAGTAACAAACAGTGTTAAAAGGATGAATAATGCATCAAAGAAAACTCACCGGCTCAAAGACCTCGGGCAGAGACTCCTGTGCCTGTCCGTAACCCTCTGGCGCGTCAGCAATATGGTCCTCTGTGATACCAATCGGCCCCGGATAGCGGACAGACTGAGGAGGAATCTCGATCCTCCCCATAGGGCGATTAGTCGTCTGAAAATATGATCGAATAATCAAGTTATTCGACTATTTAAAACAGAGACTAATAAAGAAGATCTTCAAAAGAAATCATACCTCAGGAAGACGGGGTGGAGGAGCCAGAAAGTGAAGCAAATCCCGCGCATAGTCACTCTCCATGTGTACAAGCTCCTGCCATGGAAAAGTATAGCGCTCTCCCCTGTTGATCAACTCTCTGATCAAGCGTGAGTCCAGCATCGACTCTGGTGGAGATGAGGGCACCACAAAACGGTCGCCGCTATGATGACGAACGACTCGCTCCCCCAAATACCAGACAAAGCGTCCGGTACCAACCAAAATGGTGCGGTGTGCGAAAAGATGCAAGGCCTCAGGTAGATCAGTCATCCCGGCCCAAGGACGATACTGGACATCAATGGCAACCTGAAAACCATAAAAAGTTGGCGTGAAATGACAGAAACAACGTCAGAAGGAAAGTAACAGGCAACAAAACTAATCCTTACGCCAACAGAAGAGGTACCTCGGCGTAATAGCCCACGCAGTGTAGGGACGGACTCCACCCGGGACTCTCCTCGATCACGTCAGCTGGCCCCGACAGGGAAATCATGGACCGCTCCACGACGCCGGCGAGGAGCCAATATCGGGAAGTACTCGTAGAACCATAGCTGCGACGAAAAGCAATCTTTGGCACATGAGTCGAACAAGTTAAAGTGAAACAAACACTAGTAGAAAAAGGCTTCTTTGCGTCGCTCATTTATAGTGTATTTGCGTCGCTTCTATGAGTGACGCAACTGCTCGCGACGCAAATGACTTAAAAGTCATTTGCGTCGCTCCTAGGCGCGACGCAAATAAGAGTCATTTGCGTCGCTCCTTTATAAAGGCGCGACGCAAATGACTTTTCTGATAAACTTCTTTTTTGTTATTTGCGTCACTCCTTTATAAAAGAGCGACGCAAATGAGTCTTATTTGCGTCACTTCTTTATAAAGGAGCGACGCAAATGACTCTTCTAATAAACTTCTTTTTTTTATTTGCGTCACTCCTTTATTAAGAGCGACGCAAATGACTCTTCTGATAAACTTCTTATTTGTTATTTGCGTCACTTGTTTATCTAGGAGTGACGCAAATAACTGAGTAGACAATACAAAATTGTTGTATTTGCGTCACTTGTTTGTTTAATGAGTGACGCAAATGAGGTGAATTTTTTATTTTTTTTAATTATAATAATTTCCTTGTATATGTTTGTAGTACCTGTTTTCCTTACTAGTGGTATAAAGTAATATGCTAATGCTAATATAATTGAAATTAAAATGCAATATTATTGAATAATGGAAATGTAAATTTTGGCAGAGTCTCCTTTGTAATTTGGCCTACCCATAAAATTGGGAATGACGGCATTATATTAACAACCTGTCCAATAATTTACATCTCAATATCATAGACATTATACTCATCATCCCAACACCAATTAACCAAATTCATTCATTTCAAGCCTTTAATCCAAAACAAGAGTCCAACATGCACTAAGTGTAAATCTAAAATTCAACAATACATATAAAATACTCTGCCCAAATATCTCGAATCTCATTTATCTCCTCCTCCGTGTACGGTGTAGTTCTTGAAAAATCCTATCAATACAACAAATATACAAGAGGAAAGTTTTAATTCAAGATTGTAGCTAACATCAAATTTTATTTATCAAACAAAAATGAAATATTTGACAACTCATACCTGAATAAGATCCTCACTGCTATGGTGATGTTCAAGTATTTCTTACATATAACGCATGACGTAGTAGCCACACTCACGTCCACCCAATTGTTGAGGACACTACATGTAATATATTTATAATTTGAATTAAATTGCTATACTTAAATTATTAAGAAACTAAAAGTTAGGGTAAGAAATTAAGGTAACCTGTCCCAAATGTCATGTCAATTTACTTCCCCTAGATTGTCCACTTAATGCTTTAAAACTTCGAAAAGCACTACACATTTGAAACAAATAACATATATATTACCCTTACACACATAAAATCATGACATTAATAACAAACTAGACTTACTTTGTCATTGCAAACTTAATTGCTAAATTTCGCTTCTGCCTCATCGAATCAAAGATGATGACTTCACGCTTAGCCATGCATAAGACCAAAAGAACCCAATGATTCCTACATAATAAATTAGACACACATTTGTAAAAGAGTAAAATAATATCAACAATTTGCAAAGTTCAAATAAATACAAGTTCAAAGTTTATACTTTTCATGGTATGGGCATAAGATAAACTGCTTAGATTTTTGTTTTTCCATCACATGTGTCATGTATAGTCGGAAACGATCAGCATCACTATGCAAATAGGTTTCTGAAATCATTTCCGGACACATGAATCCAATGGAAGCCACTTCCTCCATATCGAGTAGTCACTCAAGGCCCTACATATATATCATGTAATAACATTATGAATGGTAATAAATAAGTATATATATGGGAAGAGTGAAATTGTAGATAGTTAGAAGAACCGGCCAAGTGCTATATTGGGTACTTAGTGTCCCAAATGGGTTCATTCCATCTGTACTAAGACCAAGCCTAAGATTTCGATCTTCTTCACCAAAGTCCTTGAACTTTCGATCAATGTTCCTCCATTGCGGGGAATCAGCAGGATGCCTCATTAACCCATCTTTCTTCCTCCCATCAGCATGCCACCTCAATAATTTTGCAGTTTTTTCATCCGAGAAGAGTCTTCTAAATCTCGGTATAATTGGAAGATACCATAATACCTTAGCCGGAGACCCTTTCTTATACATGTCACCAGTATCATTCATCTTGTAACGAGAAACTCCACACCTTGGACACTCATGCAAATCAGCATACTCATTTCAATACAGCACACAGTCATTGGGACAAGCATGTATCTTCTCATACTCTATACCCAAGGGGCACATAAGTTTCTTGGCCTCATAGGTGGAGTTTGGAAGTTCATTCCCGTCGGGAAACGTTTCTACTAAGGCTTCTAAAAACTGCGTAAAACCCTTGTCGGTCCAACAATTGCTCGCCTTTAAGTTAAATAACTTCATAATAGCACCAAGTTTAGTGAACTTTGTAAAACCAGGATATAACGGGGTTTCAAGAGCTCTCAAAATACTATCATATGTCTGGGGACACTCTGTGAAATGGTCTTCAACATCATGCATCATTTCATCTATCATGTCCTTCTCCACTTCACTCTCACTTTCAACACCAATATCATTCGTTGTATCGATATCCTCACCTTGGTGTTCATTATCATCATCACAATGATTCTCATCTTCCCTTGGACAATAACTAGAACTTGCCTCAATATATATGCTCTAACCATGCCATGTCCACCTCGTGTAGTTTTCTTTAAACCCACGACGAATTAGATGATCTTTAATATCAACTATATCACGATATCCCCTCGAATTATTACAGTCACAACAAGGACAAAGAATAATCTTTGATTTATTCTCTGTTTGGTGTTTTAAGGCAACAGTGCTAAACTCTTCAATTCCTCATAAAAAACTTGTACAATTTCGTTTACCATACATCCAACTTCGATCCATTTTCAACCACTGGATAAAAAAATTAATTTTAAGATAATGTGTATATTTTGTAAAATATATAGCTCCTTAACCATAAACAAGAATATAAGGCATCAAACATTTTCATTCAAAGTTTATATCATGTAAATGCAACTCCGGATGATCCAATAAGGTCCTTATCACTCCAACCTAACCCATTCTTGAATGTCCTATCTCACTAATAACTACTTGTAAAGTTTGGTTCTAAAGAAAATCCGAAAGCATTTCCCTATAATTCTCCAAGCACACAATGTAGAAAATCGGCTATCAACATATGTACCCAGAGAACAATCGGGAAATAGTGAGCCATGATCTTCTTAGACCCAAAATAATTCAAGTAGTTATCACCTAAATGAGATAGAACATTCAAGAACAGTCCCAAACCGGGGACTATTCAAGACTTACTCCTAATGAGTAAGCCCTGAACGGGTATCTAAGCCAATGATGCAAGTATTATTGCAATTCCAATCAATTATATCACAATTAAAAATCTCATACAATTCACAATAAATATACCAACCAGAACAAATAAGTTAATATTGCAAAGAATGGTTCAGATATATATACCACATGTGAAGATAATCTCGTATGCGTACTACCGCCTTAATCGTTTGTCCACAACCAGAACCTCGAGCAACTTGTGGAATTCACTTCCGCATAATTAAGAATCTGCCATAAAAAATTACATATATTAAACCAACATAGTTGATTCAACTTAATCTGCCATGTGACATAAAAGTTGTTATTCGGCATTGCTTATTAGCCAATCATGGTGTAAAACTTGAAGACCTGAAACGAGTGTTAAATGCTAGGTCCAACCTTAATCTGCCATGTGAAATAAATGCTAGTTGTTATTTTGAAACTTATTTTTTAATTAAGGGTTGAACAAGGTGGTTGTTTAATGGATGGAATATTTATTTATAGTTTTTTTAACTTGATGACTGATTGAATGTCGCCTTAGCTAGGTCCAACAGATGGGAAGTACCTTTTTTGTCGCCTAAAGTATGTGAAATTTTCAGTCCAATGAATTAACAACCTTATAACAGCTGCAAAGCTAATGTTTTATTGCCATCAAAGTTAAATGCTGTAAAAATCAGCAGCTCTAAGATGCAAACCAGCAGCTCAAAGATGCAGCTGCAAACCAGTAGTATATTGCTTCCTTAAACTTTTAGTGCTCAACTTAATTTCTCATAAAACTAATTTCTCAACTACTCTAGATCATCCCCTATATAAAGAAAGACATAATTAAGGGCCTACCGAAAATACCAGTAAATCTCAAATTTATTTTCATAAGATTGATTCTATTCTTTAACCCTCTGTTTGTTTTCTTTTCTGATCAAATTTGACTTTATTACATATCTTTATACGTAAAGGTGGGGGTGCATGACTGCATATGTAATAGTCAAGTGTGACGGGGTTCAAGCAAAGAGCAGGAATCTTAGTGGATCATAATTTTCACCAAAACCCTACCTAATTAATTAATCATACTAATAATTTTCTTCATAAAATCAGATCAAGCAACCCATTCCTAAAAGGTATTCACAATATTTGACTCACGTGACGCCATGTGAGTCCGTAGGAGCAATTTTTTAATTAATGGCAGATCTACTAGTACCGTACTCACCCCCTTTCCTTTATATCTTATTGTTTATAGTGGACAGGAATACATACAACATATACTATATATGATGATCACAGAAAGTGACCAAACCAAAAGGGTCAGTCCAAATATTAAGTATCTTTGTCCCTGTGATTATGATAATCACTTTGTCTGACCACGTATTTGCGTGTGTGCTCGTGATCCTAAATCTCATAGAACAAGAGCGACCACGAGAGAAATAGAGTTCAGGACATTACTGAAAGTGCCTAAGTAGAGGTACTTGTTCTCATAAACGCGCCCAATTCGTGCTTCCCATCGCCCATTATGATGATGCCTACAAAAAAATTAAATGATAAAAAATAATTTTAATAAGACATTCAAAGAATCATAGATGTCACATGACCCATAAATTAAAGAAAAAACAATGAATGTTCAAAGATGCAAACAAGCAGCTCAAAGATGCAGCTGCAAACCAGTAGTATATTGCAAAACAGCAACTGTAAAAATCTACAGACTAAATGTACTAGTTGAAAACATGCAGGTGAATATATTAAACCAGTAGAATTGAGATGAGCCTCAATGAAAATTCAATGACTGAAATTATAAAAATTCAATTAAATCTGCCATATAATTTCTAATTAATGAACTAACACTAAACCTGAAATTAAACTAAGTCATTGTTCAAGTTAAATGCCCCAAAAGAAGCAATCTTACCATAGGTGAAATTGACTTCAAAAATTCAACAATGTCGAGCCGAAATCGAACTTCAATTGTTGTTGCTGTAATTTGCTTGAACTTCCTCGGGTTTTTTGGGGCGATATTAAGCGATTTTTCCACTCGAAAATTTCAGTTATTGCTCGAACTTTTTCAGCATGATTTTTAATTCAATTTTTTGGGGTTTTTAGGGTTCGAATTCGTATGGAATTGAGTAAATTTTTTGCTTGAAATGGGGGATTTTTGGTCGAAAATAATCAATTTTTCTGGGGTTTAAGGGTTCGAATTACTTAGGGTTTTTGGTCTAAATTTTTGCTCGAAATTGCTCGGATTTGCTGCCGATTATGGGTGTTGAACTTGATTGCGATTTTGGATGTTGAATTTGCTGGGGAATTGCAGTTTTTTGGGCGAATTTGTGGGTGTTTTTTGGGAGAATTTGTTAGATTTCAGGGTCGAATTGCAGTTTTCTGTAGAAGCAACTCTTTTTTTTCTTTTTGTTTAGTGAAAGGTAGGCGTGAAAAGCTAAGGTCAAAAAAGCGTAGAACGAATAACCTAAAATGCAACAGAGTTATTTGCGTCACTTAATAATAAAAATGCGACGCAAATAACAAAATCTGAAATGCTGAAAATTTGTTATTTGCGTCGCTCATTTATTAAAAGAGTGACGCAATTTATTCACTCCCTTATTTGCGTTTCTTGTCAATAAATGAGTGACGCAAATAAGGTTATTATATGCATCGCTTCAATAAATAAGAGCGACGTAAATGATAGAAAGCTAACATACACTTGACTTTTGCGTCGCTTCTTTAATAACAAGCGACACAAATAACTTTAAATGATGGTAAAAATATACATTTGCTTCGTTCTTTAGAATGAGTGATGCAAATATGGCGACGCAAATGAACCTTTTTCTACTAGTGAAAAAGGGAAAAGATCATCACCTCTAGGACTCTCTACAGACCATAGACGGTGATGGGAGACTCGTCATTCAGCTGCCGACAGCCATGACGTAGCAATAACAGAAGTTCGGCGTATCCAAGGCTGGCCCAGCTATAGGATCCTATCTCATGGATCCTGACCAAAGCGGGGAGGTAGCAAAGGAGTACGCGTGAACTCCTATCAGAAGAAAGGGTCATAGAGATCAGGATCAGGATAAAGATCCGCACTCGCTGCTCAGCCGACGTATCCTCCACGTCGAAGCCACGAGCTAAAACTGAAGCTAACTCCGATCGTCCGCTCCTAGGACCACCTAGAGACACTGGTCGGGTCCTGATATGCTGAACGATCGGACCCAACAAATCAGCTGCCTCAGCCGATCCCCAAGATAGATCAGACATCTAAGCTACAGCTCGGTCGGTGAAGCGCAACCCACTGATCATACTAAAGTCTAGAGGGGTCACCGTCATCTCCCCCCAAGCAAAATGAAATGTGTTGGTAGTATCCCAGAAATACTCCAACAATGCGCGAACGACCGTCGCACCGCAAACCCAGGGGTTGCGAAACCCTACAACCACCGTATAGAAATCTACAAAACCAGCCGATTCCCATAAGGCGTTCGTAGCAGGATCCCTCGTAATGATCTGGTGAAGTCGAGGGATCAAATCGCCGGCTCCAGAACCGTGGTGGCGAAGCGTGCCATCGACTATGCCGGAGAGTGGGCGATGAGAGACATGGTTTTCACGGCAGAAAACCAACTGGTCTGGAGTCCACGGAGGTGGAACCCACCTACCTCTACTCGCGGATGCCCGAGGCTCGGACTCTAAAGCATCGTCGTCCATACCCTCAGGAATGGTGGGAGTGTCCTCCCGAAAAGCCCGACGCCGGCCGAGGGTAGAAAGATCGCAATCTCGTCGCCTAGGCATGCTATTATAAAAATCTAAATGCTTAGCATCATTTCCTAAGACATTTAATTCAAGTTGCATTTTTATGAAAATAAAGATCTAAATATTTAGCATCATTTCCTAAGTTATTTAATTATTTATCAAATTATACGTTAAATTTTTACCTCCAGGCTAAAAATTGGCAAAATTATGGTATTTAGTTTCTCCATGACAAACTAATACTACAGTTCTCCTAGCCGCATGATACTATGTTCTCCATGACAATATAGTACATACGCAAAATATGTTTCGAAGTTGCACAAATACAATGAATCAACACATCATGAAATATTTCACAAGGTTTACCACCATTTTTTTTCACCATTTCAAGTACAAAGAAGTAACATGAACATCATTTCACAAAGTAGTACCCATAAATGGTGATTTGCTCAATTCTCCATCAAATCATGCATTTTTTGTCTCAAATTTCTCACAAACACACATACCTACATATACAAGTAAAATCATGGCAAGAATTTCAACATGAAACCTCAAAATAAAAAATCCTAAAATTGATTTTTAAGGGTTTTTCATGAAATTACTTGAAGCAAATTTGAGATAAAAATTAAGAGGAACTTACATAGATCCTTGTAGAGAGTCGAAAATGAGGAAAATGGCAGAAAATTAGAGCAAAATTGGCGAAAAGTTGAGCACCAAAAGCTCGAAAAACTTCGAAAATCTGCGGCCTTCGTGACACGGTTGAGCTTGGCCGCGGCTCGGTGGAAGATTGACGTATCACGGGAATTAATAACCGTGTCACGGGAAGAACAGAGGTCTCTAGAGCTCTGTTGTGCAACAATAGCACCGACGAACAACAACAAGATGAACAGCAGCAACTCGCAGCAAAAGCAAAAATAAAAAAAGGGGAGAGAGAAAAAAAAGAACCGCCGTGTCACGGGTGTCGTTCCCGTGTCACGGTGAGGCCGGACGATCGTCGGTTGTCTTAACCGTGGCGCGGCGATTTGTGTGAGCAAAAAAATGAAAATGGAGAAGATAACGAGAGGAGATGAACAAGGAAATGGCGAAATGGTGAAAGAAGTGAAGCAGAAATATGAATTTAAAGCCAAAAAAAAAGTAACCGTTACGCACCCCGTTCACCGAGCCACGGTTACCGTTATCATGTAACGGTACACGAACGACCAATTGTGAAATTGGCGTGCTGGGATTCGTCGATAAAAAGCATAATGATTAACGCGCTGACCAATTCTAACAGCAAAAAAAAATATATGTAAAATATTCCCGTGACACGGGATTTCATCCCGTATGACGGGAGAAGTTACCGTGTCACGGCAAAATAATGACGTGGCACGGCAGCTCTGCACATTGTCAGCGAATATTCCTGGCATTTTTTACCAGTTTGAATGATTTTTTGAGATTATTGGGCGGTTCTTTTTCGCTGGAATTACGCGGAAAATTCTAACTGATACTTAAAGGGGACTAAAATTACCATTTTACCCCTAGCAAGCATCAAAGTCTATTTTTCGGCATTTTAAGCACCTAATATGCTTGGATAATCGACTTAAAATTGTGAATCATCTGCGGCCCACGTTCGGGGATAATCGAACCATCATACACTTACGAATTTCAGCAATCGTTGGCTTTCCTCAGGCTTGGAAAGCATTATCGGTGGATTTTTCTTCAAGTATAGAAAACCGCCGAGGCGGATTTCCTCAGGCTTGGAAAGCGTTATCGGTGGATTTTTCTTCAAGTATAGAAAACCGCCAAATCGGCTTTCCTCAGGCATGGAAAGCGTTATCGGTGGATTTTTCTTCAAGTATAGAAAAACCGCCAAGTCGGCTTTCCTCAGGCTTGGAAAGCATTATCGGTGGATTTTTCTTCAAGTATAGAAAACCGCCAAATTCCTTTATCGGCTTTCCTCAAGCATGGAAGGCATTATCGATGAAATTCTTCAAGCATAGAATGACACCAAATTCATACGTCGGCTTTCCTGAAGCATGGAAGGTGTCATCCGGTAGGTTTCTTCAGGCTTAGAAAACTACCAAATTCTTCAGTCGGCTTTCCTCAAGCATGGAAAACGTTTCAACAAATGTCACTCTGTGGATTCCTTCAAGCTTAGGAAGCTGCCAAATTCGTTTCTCACCAATACACTGGTGTCAGATACATATTCTATCCCTTTACTCTTTTATCTATGGAATTAACATTTTTCTGCAGGTATCGGCATATACAGAATGATTTAGGATCGCAGAACATCTTAAATCATTCTCCGTCCCTATCGGTTACTTTGACTATCGTTTTCGAAACTGACGTTTCTACAAACTCAGTCAAAGTGGGGGCTTCTGTCGACACCCATAACCAAACCCGATGATGAACAACCTTTCACCGCCACTATTGGTCGTGTTCAGTATCTAATCCCGAGAGTGCTTAAAAAATCGTATTTGATTAAATTCGTATTTTTGAACAGTCCATGGATTAGCCTTGATGTTTGGTAAAACCATAGTTTTAATTTCAGCCCAAACTTATTATTTTATTTTAGCCCAAACCTTTTTTTTATTTTATTATTTTATTTTAGCCCAAACCTTTTATTTATTTTTATTTAATTATTTTCTTATTTAAGCCCAAATAATAATAAGTCAGAAAAAGCCTGAAATTATCAATCGGCACTTAAAATGCCGAAAGAAATTAGGGTTAAAAATGTATTTAGACGGAAAAACGGGCTGGAATTTCCCGCGCCACGGAAGGTGCTTACCGTGTCACGGAAATCCTTCCCGTCTGACGGTGGGATTTCCCGTGACACGGGAAGTCTTCAGTGACACGGGACATTCCGTGTCTTTTCCGCGTAAACCCTAAACGCGTTTTCTTTCCAGTTTTCTGAAAATTTCCCGCGTCACACCAAAAGTGTACCGTGTCACGGGAAAGTGTGACGTCTGACGGTGGAGCTTCTCGTGTTTTTAGGGTTTTTATCATTTTAGGGTTCTGTGTGCTCCCTCAGCACATTTTCCCTATAAATACCCCCTCATTTCTGATGTACGGGGCACCGAGTAATTCTCTAATTTTATTCTCCTCTCTTCTATGCTTTAGCCTAAACACTAGCCTACCCTTTTTACTTCAAAATTCCTTCTTCAAGTACTCAAAAGAGTCCATACTTTACTCGTGGTTCTATCCTTAAGCCAAGGCGTGAAAGGTAGAATTGTTTGAGGGTTTGGCCCCAAAATCAACTTTACTTAATTTAATTTAATTTAATCATCGTTTTATTATTTCCTTGAAGTTACTAACTCGTTTATTATTTTGTAGTTGCAAACAAACAGAATCAAAGTAAGGATCATGCTCCTTTTATTTTTATTATTTTTCTAACGATTTTATGTTGTTGGAATTGTGATTAATTTGGTTTTAATATTAATGTTGTTCTACTATTTTTATTTATGATCACCATATTGCATGTTTAAAGGGAATATGTAATTGAAAATCACACCTAATAAGATAATTTGGACAACCGGTTTAGGATCCTTTTTAATCTTGTTATTAAATCAAGTATCACAAATATTTTAGAATTATGTGTGCATTAATATTCAATCAATTTAGTTAAAT